TTTTACTGAAGCTTCAGCACGAAGAAGCCAGGAAGGAAAAGCAGAAAAAGAAGGGGAGAAAGAGGAGGAGAAGGAAGACAAAGAAGAGAGGACATATCGAGACGAGCTGACGATGGCGAACGAGGCTTTTGACCTGCCACTGGCGAAGCGGCAGAAGGTCGTGACGGAGAAGTCCAGCCATTCACGCGCGCCAGACGGATCTCGCATCTTCACACCTTTCAGAGTAAGCTGTTTTTGCTATACAATTGGATGGATGCACAGATACATGGGTAGAGACTAACTCTGTGACTGCAGACTCTGGGCCTTGTTTCGTCGACGTCCGTTCCGTTTACCTCGATCCCACTAGGCAAGACAACCTTTCAAATAACAACATCAGTTGGCCAGTCCTTGCAGACATATGACCTACGACGAGGTCTCAGTCTTGTCTTCTTGACCCGGCCACAGACACCGGCTTTGATTACAGCGACCCATGCATGGAGGGACCGTGTGTTTGCGGCCTGGGGCGGCCAGTCAGCGGCTCAGCAGAGCGGTGTTTGGGTGTTTAAGCGTGGGAAGAAGGTGGCTGAGCTGGAGATGCCTTCTATTGCCCCAGGGTCTGTCGCTCAATCGGTGGATCGATTGGTCGTCTTTGGATCCTGGATTGTCGGATGCTGCAGCAATCGTATGATCGTGTGGAAATCGGCAGATTACTCCCATTATACAACCCTTACTCCTGCGGCCACCAAGGAGTTTACTAAGCTAGTTCCTAGTACTTTATGTACCATGCCTACGTACCTTAACAAAGTCTTTGTTGGACGTTCTGACGGTTGCGTCGATATCTGGAATGTGTCTACCGGGAAATTGGTGTATTCAGTCCTCCCTACTCTTCCAGGCGCAGGTGCAGTCAGCGCATTGCAGCCATCTCCAGCCTTATCTCTCCTCGCAATTGCATATGCATCCGGATCATTAGTGATACATAATATCCGAACAGACAAGCCCGTGCTTTGCTTGAAGAAACCTGGGCTCACCAATAGTGCTCCTATAACGTCTATCTCTTTCCGTACAGATGGAATTGGGGCTGGGGAGGATGGGCGGCAGGATGGTGTATTGGCCACTGGTAGTGCTGACGGCGGTGATATTGTCCTGTGGGATTTGATTAACGGCGGTCGTGTGACTGGTGTTGTGAGAAATGCGCATGAACCATCTGGAGAAGACAGGAGTGTGCAGATAAACAAAGTCGAGTTCCTGCCCGGTCAGCCAGTCATGGTCTCAACCGGCTCGGACAATGCTCTACGCACCTGGATATTCGACCAGACTCCTTTTTCCCCAATCCCGAGACCGCTTCATGCCAGATCCGGCCACTCCGCGCCAATTACGAAAGTCATGTTTGTTCCCTCGGGATCCGATGGGTCTGAAGTAGTAGGCAAATGGCTGCTAAGCGCTGGCCAGGACCGCAGCCTGTTTGGTCTTAGCTTGCGCAAGGATTCCCAGAATACGGAGCTCTCTCAGGGAAATGTAAAGAGCAAAGCCAAAAAGATCGGCGCGTCAAGCACGTCCGCCAGCCAGCAAACCATTCGTTATGAAGAATTGAAAGCTCCCGAAATAACATGCTTGGCTTGCTCTCTGAACCGAGATGGTGGTATGGGAGCAGCCGCTGGAGGACCCATATGGGCTAATTCGAAGGCCACAAGTGCCGAGAACACAAATATGACCGGCTGGGAGAGCATTGTTACTGGGCATAAGGGTGACAAGTTTGCGCGTACATGGATTTGGGGTAAGAAGAAAGCCGGCCGTTGGGCTTTGGAGACTGGTGACAGTACTGAGGTGAAGGTACACTCCCTGTCATTCTTATTTGACCCCTTCATATCTTTTATTTTTTTTTTTTTTTTTTTTTTTTTTGAATTTACTAATGCGTTTGTAGAGTGTGGCCATGTCCCAATGTGGGACATTTGCCTTGGTTGGCTCCGATGGCGGCTCACTAGTCATGTATAACCTGCAGTCTGGAATCCGTCGACAGTCATTCCCACCACGCCTGACGCCGGCCCAAGCTAAGAAGGCAAAGCTACAACGTCTTGTTGATGGAGATGAGAACGAGCTCGATAAGAAGAAGTCTGCTAAACATACCAAAGCCATCACAGGCATCGTAGTTGACAGTTTAAATACTACTGTTGTCAGTTGTGGACTTGATGGTAAAGTTAAGGTATGTACCTGTTGCTCGAGCTATATATATGTGTGTCATTGTTGCTGATTTGATCAGTTTTGGAATTTGATTACGGGTCAACTTCTGGATGAATTAGATTGGAATCCTATGTGTGCCATCACTGGCCTACGGTTCAGCAGCACCAGTGACCTTCTGGCTCTCAGCTGTGACGATCTTTCCATCCGTGTAATCGACATCCAGACGAAAAAGCTAGTCCGTGAACTCTGGGGATGTGTTGGCCAGGTCAACGACTTTACCATCTCAAATGACGGACGCTGGATCGTTGCTGCCTCCATGGACTCGGTTATCCGCGTCTGGGATTTGCCAACTGGCCATCTGATTGATGCATTTAGGCTGAAGAATACATGTGTTTCCCTCTCATTTTCAAGCACTGGCGAGTTCCTTGCTACGGCCCATGCAGAGGGCGTAGGGATCAACCTTTGGAATAACAAGAGTCTATTTATGCATGTTCCGACAAGCCATATCGAGGAAGATACGGCTGTAGCGGTTGCTGCTCCAACCGCATCAGGAGAGGGCGGAGTTGCTATGATAGAGGCAGCTTTTGATGACAGTTGGTTATCAGATGACCAGAAACAGCCTGTGCTTACCCCTGACCAGCTTTCTCATAACATGATGACCTTGAGCATGACTCCAAAGACCAGGTGGCAGACCCTACTGCACCTTGACACTATAAAGGTATGCTGCCTGTTATTATCAACATTATTTCTTCATTCATAGTTCCATCTGCTAATATGTCTACAGCAACGAAATAAGCCAAAGGAAGCCCCAAAGAAGCCAAAGAAAGCTCCCTTTTTCTTGCCGTCTCTTGAGTCAAAATCTGCATCCGGTACAGTAAGTATCGGCAACGCCTCTGCAGACCAGGATGAAGACGATAGGAAAAGTCTCCAAGCGGAACGGAGCCGCATTGCGCGGATACAGCGAATGAACGGGTCGGCAGGAGGGCAATTATCGAAGTTTACAACGTTGCTGCACTCCGCCGGCCAAGCTGATGACTTCACTCCATTTATTGAGTACCTGAAGCTGCTCTCTCCAGCAAACACTGATCTAGAGATACGCTCACTCGATCCAAGGAGCCAGGATGGCCAGGATAATGAGCTAGCCCTCTTTGTCCGTGCGCTGACGGAACGTCTCCGCCAAAAGCGAGATTTTGAGTTGGTCAACACGTGGATGGCTGTTTTCCTGCGTGTCCACGACGATGCCGTCGAAGCAGCGGTTGGGCCGCAGCCATCCGAGGGCAACGGGGCCATCTTCGGGCCGAATGTGGCTTTGCAGCAGGCTCTGAGAGAGTGGAAGGCTGAGCAGGAGAGCGAGGCCAAGCGACTGGCGGATCTGGTCAGCTACTGTCGTGGCATTGTTGGCTTCTTACGCTCAGCACGATAACCGTGTCAATTAATTGAATATACCCCCTATATATCAAAACTCTTTTCTTCTTCTCCCTCTTCTCCCTTTAATCGACTCGTAATATTGTCCCTCAATATATATATATATATATACATGGATTGTTGTCCAGTCTTATCGCTTATCGCGGACGTAAGGTTTAATGACTAATCATGCGGCTCCTGCCAAGGTTTGAATACAACTCTGTTACGTAATCTCATCCTCCTTCCCGTCAGGCTGCGCATATCAAAACGGCTGACGAACGATCAACATCAAAGAAAGAAACAAAAGGCTCCGAGACAAGCTGGTGTTCACTGCGCGAGAGACCTACGGCCTGAGTGTCGAGCTTTATATCTTTACGACAACCTCCCCTTCCTGTCACTTGATCAGCTGGACTCTGGACTTGTGGACTCGCCATTTATTTATTCCCAACTACAAGAAACAACAAACCCGAACGCTGCCTAAGCATAACCGCAACGTGATTATCAGAATCTCGAAGCTAGACACATCGCCACGATGCGGTGGTTCGGGTGGCTCATACTCATCATCATCCTCGCCCTTCTCGCGTATGGCGGCTGGATAGGCTACTCCCAGATCCGCGCCCGGAGAGCCGGTCTCCCTCCACCACCATTGAAATCATACCTACCGTTCACATCCTCTCCTGCATCGTATGGCGACGCAAACTACCCGACTCCCCGAAGCGGTGGAATAGTAGGCTGGTTTAAGGACAAGGTTGCAGCTCTGCGCAATCGCAGAACACACCAGGGATCGTACGAAGACCATCTTGAGCCACGAGCCTACCGAGGCGGCGCTGGCAGGCCTCTTTCTGAGCAGGATGAGCCATGGGACACGCGCATGGGCGCCGCCGAGCGAGATGGTGGCTTCGGCCCGCCCGGGTATTATGAAGAGCAGGAACTCGGTTTTGCGCCACACACTGGCGGATACGATCGCAATGCATCTGCGTACGATGGTGGTCTTACTCCTGGAGCGAGCCATGAAGCAAGCCGTGGAAGAAGTCTGAGCCGTGATCCGTCGCCTGTCAAGTTGGGACAAGGAGATGACCCAGCTAATCCATTTGGAGACCATGCTGAGGGGAGCAATTTGAGGAATATGAGCCCACGGCCAGAACCTCCGGCTGGCGAGGGCTCTGCTCACGCACAGAAAGGCGTGTTCCGGGAGTCCTTGTGAGCTTTTAGCGGCCGTTGACTTGTACTCTTTTCCCATTCTATTTCACTTCGCTACTACTGATTCCCTTTTCTTTCTCCTCGTGTATTCTGTCTCTCCATTTCTGTTTTATCCGCGTTTTCTTTGGATTGGGCCGTCTACAGGAGTCGATTATGTCTTATAACGATAGCATTATTTGGATGGAATAAATAACTACGAGGCCAGACTGAGGCTGGCCCCGTCACTTGGGTTGCGTCTATCGTTCAACAACGCCTTTTCATCCGTGTATACCAAAGAGAATTAATCATAAAACACTGGTCTATGTGTTCTAGTTACCGAAAGCTTTCTTTCCCCTGTCTCTAGCATGCTTGATGGATAATATCTAGGAGACTAGCAAAAATCAGCTCTCAATCTTGAGATATATAAAATAGAACAAGGTGCCCCTGGGATCAATTGGCCTGCTCGATTACTGGTGTAACTGTGAGAAACCACCTGGCGAACGTGGAATTATATTTATACTGTATTATTGACCGGTAAAGTGCTTCGCTACGCAGTCGCTATTAGACCCTGTTCCTTGCTAGTACGATCCCAATGCTTCCCCCATCCCACTGCTTGTCTCTCTGTGGCGCTCCAACGTCTCACAGAACATGCCCTGAACTTAGCTGCCGGCCATTCACTGCTGTATTAGAAAAGTGCTTGGATATACTCCCAAGCCTCAATAAAACGAACATAGCCGTTCTTCCCTTAGGGTGACGGTATCTGCCCTCGAAGAGACATGCCACCTAGCCCACCAAACGAGCTTCCTAGACACGATGCCAGCGCCATTCACCGCTGAGCCCTGGTAGAATGCCTCGGAGATGAGTCCGGACACTCAATATTTGTCATGGATTCCTTTGCCTTCTCTCGTCGAGCCGTTGTAGTTGCGCGGCTAGTGGAGGTCATGGTTTCTGCTCCTTAGATAGACGCGCCTCAGGGGTATCTTGGTGGGCAAGCAGCCAGTCATAAGGCCATGATCTTGGACTAGGTCAAGCATCCGGGTCAAATATAATCTGTAGGTGAAGAAGAAATGCAGAAGATGGGAAATTCACCGTGTTGGCGGGACAGTTAAGAGAGTTGAAATAGTTAACGAGTGACGCTGGCCAAGAAGCTTGAATTTGCGGCTCCCGCACCGAATTGTTAGTTAAGTTAACTAACTAGTTATTTTTCGTCACAGTCGAAGATCAGCGATTTGCATAGTCATCCCACACTACTACTAGTCGGCAGGAAGGACATTTACAGAGTTGAATAGTTATCCAGGGCAATCGGCCAGAGAGAGAGAGAGAGACAGGAAACATGCCGACGGAGCTGGAGGAGGTCAGTTTGTCGTCTTCCCTTCTTATCTGGCCAGAGTAGTTAACTAACGACTCCCAGCTGGTCGACTTCCTCCACCATGGAAACACGCAGATCCGCCAGATAGGTAGGCCTCTTTGCGCCCCGTTGCGCATGTTTTCTACGTCTCACTGCTGTGCTGCCATACTGACGGACCGACGGACGGATAGCATGCGAGAACCTCGTCGGCTACTCTGCCTCCCAGCCCGCGCTCTTCAAGAGACACCAACTGCTCCCCGTCAGAGACCTCAAGCTGCTGGTCAAGGACTACCCAGTGCGCCAGACACCTCCGATGCCTTTTCCCGAAGCAGTTTCAAGGAGTTATAGCTGACATATCTGCCATTAGCCGATTGCCAAAGATGCGCTGACCATCCTGATCAACCTGTCGGCGGACGACGAAGTGCTCAAGGAGCTGGCGGAGGACGATGCCTTTCTCGAGACCCTCCTGAAGAAAGTCACCGTATGTAGGTGTCTGTCTTATTTACTTGCTTATTACTGTCTGCTCTTGCAAGCCATCGTCTGACTGTTAGCTGGTATGGTAGAACCCAAAGGAAAAGGCAGCAACTGAGATAACGATGCTGCTCGCCAACCTGGCCAAGTCAGACAGCATCAAGCGTATCGTCAGCCTGGAGAGAGCAGTGCCGGAGGGGGTGTCGACCTCCAAGAAGGCTATGGACCAGCTTATGGACTGCTTCATCAAGGGAGGAGACAAGGACAAGGACCAGGACAAGGCATATGACTATCTCTCCTACTTATTTGCCGACATCTCTAAGTTCGAAGAAGGACGAGCCTACTTCGTCACCGAGCAAGCCTACGACGCGGTTATCCCCATCACAAAGTTGACAGTCTTCACCGAGCACCGCAGTCATATTAGGCGCAGAGGAGTCGCTTCTACAATCAAGAACGTCGCCTTTGATGTCTCCTCCCACCCAGTCCTCATGTCGGAGGAATAGGTCAACCTGCTGCCTTATATCCTCCTCCCGCTCGCCGGGCCAGAAGAGTTCACCGACGAGGAAAGCTCAGATATGCTGCCGGACCTGCAACTGCTTCCGCCCGACAAACAGCGTGATCCGGACCCGGACATCCTCACTGCGCATCTCGAGACGCTTCTCTTATTGACCTCAACCAGGGACGGTAGAGACATGCTTCGGAGGGTCCAGGTATATCCTCTAATCAGGGAGTGCCATCTGCATACCAACAACGAGGCTGTACAGGAGGCCTGCGACCGACTGGTGCAAGTCATTATGCGAGACGAGGAGGGTGAAGGGGAGGCTACAGAGGCCGCCATCGAGAAAGCCAGACTCGAGATCGAGGCGAAGAAGGCCGACGATGCGGATGAAGAGAAGGTCGTAGATGTCTTTTGACCTTTCTTTCTTTCTTTCTTTATTTTATAATGTACATACAAAAGTTCAAAATAGATCATGTTATGCTCATGTTTACTCGATGTATTCTTTGCCTTTTCGTAACTACGACACCCGCAGAACGCCAAACTCATTATTAGTCCGCCATGTCGACCACCAACGATCACCATCTCACCAACTCACCTACGCCATGGATATCCTGGCATGGTAAGCTCTCAAGTTACCATTGTTAAACAAAGAAATAGAGAAATGCTAACTGGTCTTAGGACCCTACAGGGCTTCAGGTCAGACCGTGTATCGCCGAACTCATCCGCACACAATGTCCACCGCCCAAGCTGCTGCTTCGAGTCGAGCGCGTTATCGAGGTAATCGTCCGGATGGACGAGGAAGCCCATAACAATGATAAGCACGAAGCCGTGTATAAAGCGTATCGACTATTTCTTAGTGATGGAGAATACACCATACAGGCCTTGCTCAAGAGCGAGCTGCATGTCCTCGTATCTAGCAGTAAGGATGACCTGACGCCCGGGACGGTTCTTGATATCCAAGACTACGAGCTACGTACGGCCAACAGACTAGCATCCAAGGGTGCACGGTCTGGCAGAGTTGTTTTCCTGGCTGTTGCAAGGTATAGACGGGCAGTGCCCTTCAAACTAGATGTACAGCTCAAGAATCTTGAGGATGAACATCTACTCGTCAAACGAGATGCAGCCGCACTGTCCGACGAAGGCGCTGGTGATAGCCCACGGGAAGAGAAGAGGAGACAGAAAACCGCCGAGAGGGATAAGGCAATGGTATTTAGGGCAGCAGTTGAGGATACTAATCTACTTGATGAAATCGAAGATGAAAATCTCAAAGATGATATCCTGGGTGTATCTCCGTGCTACTCTACAGCACCTAAAATACTGTCTTCCACAGCCATGTCCACCTCCATGAAAGTCCTCACCCTCTCAGACCTTCTCGCCCCTCGAATACCCTTCCCCAAGAGGAACTATCCCTGCAATGTTATAGCAGTGATATCGTGGATCTCTCCCCAGGTGATAAAACGAACAAACATGCCTCCGAAAAGAGACCTTAGGCTCATCGATCCCACTATCATCAAAACCGTCGACAAACGGCGCTCGTCTGTGACTACTGCATCCTCGTTACCATCTACATCGCCACCTAGCATCACAGCTAATTGGACGGTAGGAATATCGATGAGCGTGTTTATAGATGCAGCCGAATTTCACCCTCCCGTCGGGACCGTGGCGTTTTTTAGAGGCATAAAGACGCATGAGTGGGATGGTATCAGTCTGAACGCATATGAGAAAGACTGCAGGGATAAGGAATGGTTTATAACCGACCCAGACAGGCTAGCTAGCTTGGGAGTTGATTCGTCCGCGTTAAAAACTTGGTGGCTACATGTACAAACGAGGTGGGAGGACGCCAGGAAGGCTTCTACTCAGGAAAATTGATAAATTCAATAAATATCATATGCATTGTATTTTTGGGTGTCTTGTCTTTTTCAATTTTTTACCAACTTTAACTAATGGGAATGCAATTTAGTAAAGGGAAAACATATTAACAACAACATAGGAAAGGATAGACTATTAAAAGTGCTATCAAAGCTTGGCTTTAGCAGTGGGCTCAGCAAAAAGATCCTCGCATCTGGCGCCGTCCGGCGTCTGCCACGCCAAATCTGTGCCTGGCATTGGCCTGGCAAGTGAGACGATGCGGAATGCGCGCGCAAATTCGTCCCGTATCAAATATACTCCGACCAGCGTGACTTTATCCGCGACATTGATGTTTCGTGTGATCGGATCCTCGATGGCGAGTAAATTGTTGTGTACAGTACCGTTCACGTCCTTGAAGTAAGTTACCCAGCCCTTTGATGTCTTCTTGGTGTATGGCCCGCGAATGGAAGCCACTCCTTCTCTCCAGTGGAACCAGGGCATGTGCCTACGCCGTGGGTATAGATCTGGGTCGTTGGTGACAGAAGAGTAGTAAGCGAAGAAGCCATAGAGAAGTGAGGCAGTTGACTGAGTGTTGGTGGTAATATTGCCAATTGCTGCTTCTTGAGAAATCACTCTAAGACTGCGGGTAAAGGATGTGTCCTGCTCTGTGGCGCCCTCTGGTAGTGCATATCTATGCAGATTTGGAATAACAGGTGGCTTTACAACATTCATCAGATAGTGCAGTACCATGAGCGTGTATCCATATGAAGACAAGGTGCCATTATAAGGGTTATTGATTCTGCGTGCTTTTGCCCATCGCTTCACTATTACTGTTATTTCATAGACACGGTCATCACAGGCCCTATAGCCTCTGAGAAGATCAGTCCGGTATGCCAGCGTCTCTATGCGGTCAAAATAAATGTTATAATGAAGTGATGGGGTGTTTTTATCACAGCAGGCAAGAGGTGAGATGGCAAATGCTTTCAACTCCTTGGCATTTTTCAGGTCTTGATACTCCCATTCAAGCCTCTGGCAGAACTGCTTGGATGGGTGTTGACAAACTCGGAGGAACATGCAGCGGTCATGCTCGATACTGGGTAAAAGATAAGATGCAAAGCCATGGGCTTGAAATGACTCAGCCATGATAAGTGGCAGATTCTGCTTGATATAAGCAGGCAGGTTCTCCGTGATTGTGATTAGATCCATTTCAGATTCAACAAGGGCATAGCCCGAGCGATAGCTGCCGAAGCACTTCAGAGCGATCGAGAAGGGTCCGGTTTGGACGCCCTGCTGGTTTTGTTTCACTTTGTCAACGACAGCATCATGAGTCCAGCTGCACAGCAGGATACGCAGCTCCTCCAACTGTTCGAGGCGGCTACGAGAGATGCTCCAGGATTTGATATCAGAGACAACCTGATGCAAGTACGGAAATTCTGCCATTTCATGGGATTGGATCTGTGGCTTGACTCGTTTTGACACAGTAGGTACCGGCTTTGCCATGGGTACAAGGCCGGCTTGACGATCAAGCTCGAAACGAGCCAACTCATACTGATGAACGGCGGAATTTGGTGAGATATGGATTGGCAGTCGACGGCCATGCTGCCACTGGCCGAGTGACTCGCTCTCTGCTTCTGCTGCCCCCCGGGCAATCATATGCTCAGCAGCGAGCTGGGCACTCGCGAGCTGGAGGCGCTGGTGGACCTCCGGAGGCAGATTCAGGAACTTCTTGATGGATTTGTCGGTAATATAAGCGATGGTCCCAGAGCCCTCCCACTCTTCTGCTGGCGACTGGGGGGACTTGATGGAGTCACTGGCTGGCACGTTGGGGGGTGCTGCAGGAAAGCCCACCGCAAAGTTTGTTGGAGAGCCCACCAAACGGGGTCTAGAGGCACCACATCGCGATGACCATGATCCTGTGGTATAGTCAGGTAGTTCACTATCCGGTGCTATATCTGCATTTGTAGCGGCGGCGGGTTCATCTGGTAGCCGGACTAGCTCAGTGGGCTCCATGATGAGAAGAAAAGAACAAAAGACAGCCAGGAACACAACTATAAAGGAGGCGTTGAAAGGAGAAGAAGAAGAAGAAGAGAAAGAAATTAGGTGGGCGGGCAGAACGTCTCTATTTATAAATGCAGGCTGGTGCCTTAGTGGGTAGGCTAGGACAGCTCTCTCACCAGAAATCTCCCTCCTGTCCTGCTAGTTAGAGATTTCTCACTAGCGCGTCTTTCTCTTCTATGCTCTTCGGTCTTCTTCTGTCCTTTTAGTGCATTCTTTGTCCTCTCATCTGGTGGGTGGATTTGGTCTCGAACGTTCTGAATATCAAAAGGTCCTGCAAAGTAGAAAGGGCGTATTGGGAGCCATCTTTCTATTCTAAAAAGTAAAACTCCCATGGGTATTGAGCTATTAGGGAAACAACCCAGAGCGACAAGTCAATGCTTTATAACTGGCTGCATGAATAACTAGCAAAGGGAGCATTGTTATCCTGAAGCTCAATGGTATATTTGGGTATTGAGGTCTGTAGGCCGTCCTCCTGAAAACTCAGTGTCCCCCGCTCCTCATAGAGGATAAAAGCCACCTGCTAGGAGCCCTAAGGCTTCGGTCATCACGGATTCATCTTCTCTTTCATCGTCTGCATCTTCTTGCCGGCTCTTCGCCGTCTTCTCGACTTCGTCTTCTTCCACCAAAAACCAACTTTGACGTCAACGACTTGCTGACAAACAGCTTAGTCACTTGTCCACGTGACACATCTAGGCGTCTTCGACGTCAAAGACGACGAAGAAACATCGACAAAGCGACAGCGACGTCGATTATCACAATACCAAACATCTCGCCCTGACAGACACCCTCCCTCCTACTAGCAGAGGGTACGAATACGGAGCTGCTAGAAAAAACTTCCTTTTTACACAGTGAACGCTTCTAACCCTTCAGTCGCTGGCTTCGCGCTCATCACGGTTGGGTACTGAGTGCAGCCGCCAGACAGACAGCTCGTGAGAGAGCTTCCGCTGCCAGCTCCAATGGTAGTTTTGGCCGTTTTCCCTATCTGAGGTAATAGCCAGGGCCTGGAATCATGAGTTCAACGACTCCGCCAAACCCACCCTTAGGTAGAACTCCCCCGGGAGGACCGAATGGACCCTTTATGGTCAGACGCCGCCCCAAGCCAGCTGATCCACTCGTTCGACCAAAGAAACGACCTATTCCACGACCTACTGCTCCTGGCCAGCCTCAGCCCCAGGGTCAGCCTCAGGGATATATGCAAGGTCAGGTCAGGCCTACAACCGCAAATGGGACGTCGACCCTTCCGCTGCAGCCTCCACGACATCAACCTCCGGCGAGCACGCTTCCACAACCAAAACCTATCCCCAGCGCTGACGATCTCACTACCAACGGCTTCAGCGGTCCGTTGCTCTCTGAAACGTACTCGGACTACCCGCTAGTTACAACAAAACGTGCGCTCAGAGAAGGATTAAGGCACCACATCGCAAAGCTCATATCAAAGAAAAGCGTGGACCCCAGGGATGAATCTCAATTTACACGCCCCGTAAGGTTACAGCGACGAGATCCAAGAGCTACAACCACCGCTCCAGCTGGAAATGAGAAGGAAGATGCAAATCCCCGACGAGGGTTCCGTGACCCTTACGCTGGTCTGACTGAGGCCGAACGCCAGGAGATGGAAGCTAAGAAAGAAGCACGGGCTAAAGAACGTGAGGATAACCTGGCGCAGATTGCTCCCTCCGTCAATTCAGGACCCAAGAAAGTGAACGCCCCTAAGCAGCGGACACAGCAAGTATTCAAATCTATCATCACACCAGAGGAGGCCGCAAAGTCTCAGATTAAATATGAGGAGGCCTTACCTTGGCATCTGGAAGATTTTGATAATGAAAATATTTGGGTTGGCAAGTATGAGGCTGCCATGTCAGAGACATACGCCACATTTGTTTTGGAGCGCAGCGGGAAGATGCGAATGATACCCATCGATAAATGGTACAAATTTACTGCCAAAAATCAGTTCAAGGTCTTGACCATTGAAGAGGCAGAGAAGCATATGGCCAGGAAGATCAGAGACCCCCGATGGCTCATGGAAAAGGAACAAGCACGAGCCCAAGAGAGAGAGCTTCAAAGATATGCCAGACAGCGAAAAATATACACTGGGCAGTCTCGAAACGCTCCAGTCACTGATCGTTTCGAAGGTGACGATATGGACTTCGACGAAGATAGATTTGCAGATGACGAGGAACATGTTGGGCTGTTTGATGATGACGAAGATGCCAAAACTGCAGAAAAGCGTATCAAACAAGACCAACTAAAGGCAAACATCTTTGATCTCAAAGATGAGAAGGACTATGATGAAGAGGAGCACCTAGAGAAGAAACAAAAGGAAGATCTCAAAAGCTTTGGCAAACAGGTTCGAAAGGCGTTGCAGCGGCGCGAGAAGAATTTTGACTACAGTAGCGGATCTGATGCAAACCCTTATTCTGATGATGAGGTAATTTTGCATTTTACATTGTGCTTGTCTTGTTCCTTATTCAACTAACTGTTTTTTTTTAGAGTACGGATGAGTCTGAACTAGAGCGCCAAAAGGAGGAGCAGAAAAAGTCGGAAGAAGACCCCAAGCGAAAAGATAACCAGGCTGACAAACCTTCGGGGACATCTACCAAAGGCACCAATACCCCGTCTGGGCGCCCTAAACATACTGACCCGCTGAAGAGAGCACAAGCTGCCGCTCGCAAACGTCCTGGATCCCCAAACCTCTCCGACGCCAGTGGCACAGATTCCTCCCGAAAGAAACCGAAGAACAAGCATCTTTCTGCCCAAATCTCCAATTCTCAGCCTACCTCTAGACCTATTTCTCCTGTTCCCCAAGCGCAGAGAAAGAGCTCTGGTACTGCTAACGCAAACGATGCCACGTCCAGCACTGCTCAAACCGCTGCCGGTGCAAAGAAGCGTATCCGCACTGGTCCAGGCAAGGCTGGATCTGCAAGTGATGTTGAAAAAGCCGCCAACTCTGGTGCTGAAATGAGTGA